ATCACTTTCATGTTGCTTTTGCACGCTTGCACCAGAAATTGACAAATTAAAGTGTTGCTTCAAGTCAAAGTCGTTCTCAAAAAGTGTGCGGAAAAGTTCACCAAAGGAAATTGATATGTATAAGAATTAGTTTTTTTTTTTGCACTGTCAAAGCGATTATTGGCCAATTTTTCTACTGCATGAAGAAGTTTGGACACCCAATCGCTTTATTTTTTCTGTAGCACACATTAACAATGAAAATATGTGGTATTTCATGAGATCCATTGTGCAGTGTGCCGAGTTCATCATAATTTCAGCTTTGAATAATCTAATAATCAGCTACATTTCAATATACATACACACTTATGTGCATACATATATACGTGTTAAAACGATAATTGGCCAGTTTTTCTACGACAAAGAGAAGTCTGGACACCCAATCGTTTCAATTTACTCTTGCACACTTGTACAATGAAATTGATACTTTTAAATCGAATCAAATCCATTCTCCCAGTGTGCAAAGTGATATCAAAGAAAAAATCGAGACCTATCAAACTCCTTCATTAATAGGAAGATACATAGTGTGTGTTCATAAATGCATCAAGTCAAACCATCAGACGTATTTATTTCTAAACTGTAATTGATGGAAATATCCAATATGGGCAACGACGATTAAATGGCAAATTGGAACTTAGTTGCGTAAATAAAGCATTTGCATCCGTTATAATTTAGAAGTAAAAAGAGACTGATGCTTTGGCTCGATGCATTTCTGAACGCACCCATATTCCAATGCTTAATAATGTAAGCGCCATGTCAAAGCGATTATTGGCCAATTTTTCTATACATTAAAGAAGTTTGGACACCCAATCGTTTTATTTTGCTCTTGCACACTTTCACAATGAAAATATGTAGCGTTTCATTAGATTCATTGTTAAAAAGTGTGCGATTGAGCCTTTAAATTTCTTCTAAAAAAAAATAAACAAATTGGTGCTATAAATACATCTATGTATATCAATTTACATATGTAAAAAAATTAGATTGTACCATTGCAGCGCGTACTTATATCTAGTTGTACCCATATATGTATGTATACTTATATATATGATATTTTTTTTTTTGCAATAATCAATATGAATAATACCATTTCACTTACTTGCTTTCAAGTCCACCCTTTTTGAGAGCTTGTACCAGATATGAAATGCCCTTCTCTTGTTTGAAAGCGACAAATACCTCGATAAGGAAGTCGATAGCAATGCCATCCTTAATTAAATGCTCGTTGTTCAATACCAACAGAACATTCGGGGGCACAGAACCATTAACTGCAACAATAATCAGACATCACATAATCAAATATCAGTAATAAATATAAAAAAAAATGTGGTGCTTTCTATTTAAATGTTATTGGGTTTGTGTCTTTTGCCTCTAGTAAATAATTCAAAAGTCAGTACGCCAAAATAAATTAATATTCCAACTATTTAATAGTCTTCGCATAAGGTACATGCTGTACAAAACTGCTAAACCAAATTTGGATAATTGGAATGTGTACAATTAAAATAAAACAAACACCAGCATTTACTGCTACTTACCTAACCAGAGCGCTGTCATACGCGCAAGTTTGGTGCGTTCACTCGGAGTAAAACCTTTAATGAATACCAACACCTTTTTCATTTCCTCTTCGAACATCTTCTCCAAGTACTTATATCGACGCATGAGCTTGACGAATACCTGCAAAGTAAAAAAAAAAAATAGAAAAATCGTCAGTTAAACACATACACACATATTATCTTTTTCACAGTGAGACTTAACTCAAATTCGGTAGGTAACTATCATTTAAAAATCATGTTCCTCTTGTCGCAACATAAGAAATCTTTGATTTGCACTATGTTGAAACAA